CCCTCACCAGCAGTCCCCTGGAGACTTGCTCCCGGGTGCGACCTGCGTTGAGCAGTGCAGCCAAGGACATGGCAGCCAGGCAGCAGGGACAAGACTCCGACCTCGTGCCCATCGCCCGCAGATGATGCTGTGGAGCACGGGCAGAGGCCGTGGCCGCTATGGTGCTGCTGGGCTGCCTGGGAGATCAGTGGCGGGTCCTGGAAGCGGGGGGTGGCCCAGCGAGTGGGCGGGGCAGGAGGCAGGGCAGGGGCAGTTTTGGGGCACTCGGTCTCTAAAAGGTTTGCCATCACTGGTATAGATTAACCATGTGACATAGCAATAAGGCTTATATACCACTTCACAGTGCTTTACAGCCCTCTCTAAGCAGTTTACAGAGTCAGCATATTTTCCCCAACAATCTGGGTCCTCATTTTACTGACCTTGGAAGGCTGAGTCAACCTTGAGCCAGTCAGAATCGAACTGCTGGCAGTCAACAGAATTAGTCTGCAATACTGCATTTAAAGAGAGAAGCAACCTAGAACTAAGGAGAAATTTCCTGACAGTTAGAACAATTAATCAGTGGAATAACCTGCCTCCAGAAGCTGTGAATGTTCCAAAACTGGAATTTTTTAAGAAGAGATTGGACAGCCATTTGTCTGAAATGTATCGGGTTTCCTGCCTGAGCAGGGGATTGGACTAGATGATCTCCAAGGGACCTTCAAACTTTATTTATTTATTATTATTATTATTATTAATAATAATAATAATAATAATAATGCACGCAGTGACATTGACAGACTTTATCTACCAAGGCAAATAGATGGGCGTGGAATTCTGCAAGTATATCAGATGGTTGAAGAAGAAAAAATGGCTTTGGAAGAATATCTGAAGGACAGTGATGAAGATGCACTGAAATTAGTATATTAGGAAGGCTTACTGACTACTGGCCTACAAGAAAGACCAAATAAAGAACAGAATAGAGCCATGGGAAGACAAAGCACTACATGGCCAGTACATTAAAAAAAATAGCTGGGAAAGCAGATAATAACAAGACCTGGCAATGGCTAAGAGCAGGAAAATTGAAGAAAGAGACCGAGGGACTAATTCTGGCTGCACAAGACCAAGCCTTAAGGACAAATGCATACAAAGTCAAAATTGAGAAGACAGCAACAGACAGTAAGT